GCTTCTTTGTTGACTGCCTTATCTTTCCTCCATTTTTTCTCTCTCTGTCTTTATCTCTCTATATCTATCTATCTATCTATCTATTTATTTATCTGTATTTTTGTGTGTCTGTGTATTTGTCTGCCTGTCTATCTGTATGTCTCTCTCTCTCTCTCTTTCTCTCTCTCTCTCTCTCTCTCTCTCTCTCTCTCTCTCTCCCTCCCTCCCTCCCTCCCTCCCTCCCTCCCTCTCTCTCTCTCTCTCTCTCTCTCTTTATATATATATATATATATATATATATATATATATATATATATATATATATATATACATACACATATATATATATCTGTCTGTCTATCTCTCTATCTATCTATCTATCTATCTCTATGTATTTATTAATTTATCTTTGTATGTCTGTTTGTCTATCTACCTGTTTGTACTTCTCTCTCTCACTCACTTTCTTTTTCTTACTCTTTCTCTTTCTCTTTCTCTTCCTCTTCCTCTTCCTCTTCCTCTATCTCTCTCTTTCTCTCTCTCTCTCTCTCTCTCTCTCTCTCTCTCTCTCTCTCTCTCTCTCTCTCTCTCTCTCTCTCTCTCTCTTTCTCTCTCTTTCTCTCTCTTTCTCTCTCTCTTTCTCTCTCTCTCACTCTCTCTCACTCTCACCTCATACTCAAATAACCACACTCCCTTAAACCTAGCTACCGCAACTATTCACAACAATTCATTTTAATATCTCGTTCTCTCTCACTTCCTCCTCTACCTCCCCACATCCTTCCCTCTACCTCCCCCCACCCCTCCCTCCACCTCCCCACAACCCTCCCTCCACCTCCCCACAACCTCCCATCCTTCCCTCCACCTCCTCACATCCCCCCCTTCCCTTCACCCCCTCACCCCTTCCCCTAACCCCTCCCCCCTCTCCCTTCACCCCCTAACCCCTCCCCCCCTCAATCCTAAACCCCTCCCCCCTCACCCCCTAACCCCCCCCCCTTTCCACCATAACCCCCTTCCCCCACCAACAGCTCCAGAACCCGTACGTGAAGAAACCCCCCTTTAAGTTCGGCTACGTGACATACACCAATACGGAAACCATCCTGAACAAGCACCAGCCCGAGATGTTCCGCTACATGAAGGAATATAGCAAGTCGAGTATCGCTGCTGGAATCAAGGCTATTAAGAAAGGGTGAGTGTGTGGTGGTGGTGGTGGTAGTAGTAAGGGTGGTTATGGTAGTCATAATGGTGGTTATGGTAGTCATAATGGTGATTATGGTAGTTATAATGATGATAATGGGAGTGATAATGATCAAGCCGATCAAGAAAGGGTGAGTGTGTGGTGGTGATGGTAGTAGTAAGGGTGATTATGGTAGTACTAATGGAGATAATAATAGTAATAATGGTGCTAATGATAGTAATAATGGTGATTATGAGAGTAATAATGATCAAGGCTATCAAGAAAGGGTGAGTAACTTGACTTGATAATGTTAATAGTGGAGGGAGGAGGGGGGGAGGATAATGATAATGCTGATAATGATAATAATGATAGCAATAACAGTAACAATGGCAAGGGTAGTAATAGTGATAGCTATGGTAATAGTAATAATGATGATGATAGTGATAAGAATAATCATAATAGTGATAGTGATAAATATTGACAGATAATAATATTAAATAATAGTAGTGATAATTACAATGATGCTAGGAAGTTGGGTTTATGACGATAATAGTAATAGTAGCTGTGAGGGTGATTTGATTACTATAATCATGCTATTAAAATAATAATAGTAACATAATCATAATAGAGTAATAAGTATGATATAGAATGATATAAGCCTAATCGTATACTTTGTCTACTCACCTTCGATAGTCAGAACCAGAATTAAGGAAGCTTATTGTCATTTTAAAATACATAAATTGTAATATAATTAGTAGTTGTAGATATATGTGGTCGGTTCAGATATGGAATAATTTAAAAAACGGGTGAAGTAAAGATTACCTTGCCCTAAAATACCATAATTGAACTGAAGCTGATTCAATTTTACAAAACGAAAAGTGACATTTGAAGTAGATTGCAGATATGTATTTTCAATCAATAAAGTCACAAAGTATGGACTCGTATTCTGAATACTGGTTAGTTGTCATATTTCCTTCTTTCTGCTGATAAATATTACTTCCTAGTTTATGTTTCTTTTTCTCTCTCTCTCTCATTCCTTTCTTTCTTTTTTAATAATTCGCCTCTTATTTTACTTCACATAACTTGAAAGGAAATAAGAAAAAGGCAAACTCTACCCTCAAAAAAACACCTGCGCATCCAGATCGTCAATTGAACAATTTCACATCTATTCGCCAGGAGGAGACTTGCATCAAGACGTAGGAAAACTATCGTTCGGTATTTCTGAAAGGTTAAACCACCACTTTCTTTGTCTTATTTCTTATAGTTGGGGAAAGATTGAAGGGTAAGGAAATGTCGACTTTCACTCGCGTCGAAAAGGAGGTTATTTCACATGCCCTTATTTCGATGTGA